AGATTAATTAAAAGAAAACTTATTTGCAATTATATTTATTTCCTAAAAAAATATTATCCTTAAGAGAGGTAATGAGAGTAGACTCACATGTAGAAGACGGAAGATTAGACTTGTTTTTGTGTTGAATTAGTATTGTTTTGATTGTTAAGTTTTTCTACGACAGAAACTGTTGTTATAGACCAGAAGTAATTGAGTCGGTTAAAGATCTTGACTTGAGAAATTGTACTTTTGTTAGTCAAATATTAAAATTTTAAAATAAAAAATGATTTGCAACACTAAGATTGTGACAAAAAACATTAATAGGGTTATTCCATATCAAATCACCTAATTTTTTGAAAGTTCCCCAGGGTACCATCTCAGATTTGCTTTAAACTTTGACCACACACAGATCTTATAAAAAAATACAATCCAGAAAATTTTAGCTTGATTGACCAACTTTTTAAATAAAGATGGTGATCACCTGAAAATTTGTAGGGTAATAGTTTTTCACCCAAATAATCCATTATTGCAGTTGTTTTTGACTGATTTTTTCTTACAGTTTTTGAGTTATTGTACCTTAAAGTTGCTAAGTATTGCAACATAAATATTTTTTCGAACGTGTTACAGTTTCATACTTACTTACAGAAAGTGGATTTTTTTGTTACCTTTTTGTACTTAGGGTCACCACTTGTTAGAATAATCAAAATTATGCATTAAAAATTAATTTAGCACATGCAGCAGCCTATTGAAAAATCACTTTTTTTAAAAATTTTGATAAATTACATCGACTTTGCTAGCATAGAAAGTAGTGTAAACAGTTGAAATAAATTATGAAACTTCTTAATGTTGAGGTTCTATATATTGACAATTACCCAAAAAAATTTAATGACCTATACTCTATCTTATGACATGATTGTAGTCTTTTAAGAGTGATGATATTTTTAAAAGGAGAATGTTATTAGACTATGAGCTAGCCTTAGGTCATAGTCTAATAATTAGTCAAAGGGATGACAGTAGTATATATATATTTTTATCTGTGAATGAATAAATTCAGTTTTCTTTTTAATGACATAATGTCCTAATTTGTACTAGTAATAATGACATAATCAGTGTCATAATCAGTGTCTGATATTTGTTAGTTTCTTTGAGATTTAATATGTTTATGTCTTTTTTAAACTTTTTAGATTCGTAATAAAAATAAAAAAATAGTAAAAAATGACAGAAAAATGTTGTGTGGGGAAAGTTTTAAATGAAGATTGTGACAAAATGTATTATTGTAGAATGATTGGAAGAATAAAACTAAAAGATATTGTGAACACAGATGCTGAAGTTTTAATTCAAAGAATTGGACACTCTTCTAAACTAAATGAGGAGATATGTTTTCACCGTGAAAAAACCTATATTTCTAGATATGAAGCGCTTCAAAAATACTGCTGTGATCCGTTTAAAGTAAACAAGAAAAAAATTATTAAGGGATTGTGTAAAGTTGATTATTTAACAGCAAGTCAACTTAAGATCAAACCTGGTCAAAAACTTTGCACTAACTGTTTGAATGAATTCAAACTTGAACAAATTACAGGAAAATTTAGTCAAGAAGACGAAGACAAAGATGTCGATTATGAGGAGTTTAGTTCTTCAGACCTAAATAAGACAGCTTTAAATAAGAGTGCTTTTTTACTGGAAATATCTCCTCTAAAAAATATAAGTAAATGTGACAAACTAGAATATGGAAAGCAAAAAGTTAAAAAACAAGAAACAAGTATGACAAACCTAGTAGCATCAGCATTAGATATAGACCCAAAAGAAATAATATCTGAGAAAAAGCAAAAGTGCATTAACTGTAACGATTTAGACAAACTTTTAGTTGCAATAAAGTAAAAAGTTAAAATCAGTTTGAATGAAGAAAAAGTTCAATTACTAACATTAACTCCTGATAGTTGGTCAATTAAAAAAACTTGCAATGCATTTTCAGCTTCTGACCATCTGATTTGTAATTGACCAATGCATTTTCAGCTTCTGACCATCTTGTTAAGAAAGTCAGAAAGCTAAAAAATAAAAAGGGAATACTTGCTAAACCTCAGGCTTAAAAAGGACATCCTTCGGAGGATATTGTTAAGCAGAGAGTCATTGAAATATATGAATCTGACGAATATACGAGACAATGTCTAGAAAAAAAAGACTTTGTTTCTGTGCATATAAATAATGTTAAAGTTCATAAACAAAAACGCTTAATATTAGTTTGTTTAAAAGAACTTCATCTGAAATCTAAGAAATTATACCCTGAACACAAAGTTGGATTCAGCAAGTTCTGTGAACTAAGGCCAAAGTGGTGCCTTACTGTTGATAGTAGTGGAAGCCACTCAGTTTGTATATGTTCTTACCATCAAAATGCTAAACTGATGTGCTCTGCTCTTCCTAACAGCCATTTAATATAATACAAAGATTTAATGAAAGTATGTGTTTGTAATATAGATAGTCAAAACTGCATGTTTCATCTATGTTCCAACTGCCCTGGTAAAAAAATTTGAAGACTTACTTGGAAAATGTGTTTGAAAAGAATGATTTCAATTTTGAAATCATTCTTTTCAAACACATATATCAGATTACATATAAACAATGGGTGTCAACTGACCGAACTGCACTTATTACAGTCCAAACAAGCATTAGTGAGTTTATTGAAACTTCAAGTGAGACTTTATATGACCTTTGTCACCACCACTTTATCAAAGAAGCACAGTCTTCCTACTTATTAGAGGCAAAACAAACATTTGACCAATATACCTGCATTATTCTGATGGATTTTGCAGAAAACTATAGTTTACTTGTACAAAATGCTATACAAGGGTTTTACTGACAAGCCGATCAAGCTACCTTACACCCATTTGTTATTTATTACAAAGATGAAAAAGATCCCCTTAAATGTGAATGCTATTGTTTAATTTTTGACCATCTTTGTCATGACCAATCAACAGTCCACTGTTTTCTCACAGTTTCTCAAAGCGGTCAAAACGCGGTTATGGCCAAAATCAAACTACCCACAGTGAATAAAGTTAAATACTTCAGTGATGGTGCTGCGCCACAGTATAAAAACTACAAATGTCTAATAAACTTATTTTATCAAATTGTAGATCACCAAATAAATGCTGAGCATCACTTCTTTGCTACGTCATATGGCAAAAGTCCATGTGATGGAATAGAAGGTACTATAAAAAGAGAAACAGTAAAAGCTAGTCTACAAGCACCAATTACAAATCAGATTCTCACACCACAAGATCTGTTTACATGGGCTCAAAAAAACATCAAAGGTATTAAAATATTTTATCTTTCAAGAGACGATATCAATAACCATGAAACAACTTTTAACCTTCAGAAACAATATGAAGAGGATGCGCACAGTTCCGGGAACAAGAAGCTATCACTGTTTTGTACCAGATAGAGAGAAATTGTTTTTACAAAGAATCTCTAGTTATAATGTCTATGATACTTATGTGTTAAATGATGTTAATTTGATTAAAAAAATCCTTCAAATTTTCAACCCGGTAAATATATTGCATGCTTTTATGATAAAGAATGGTACGTAGGGTTTGTGGTTGATATTTGTAATGAAAACCAAAACGTTAATGTGAAGTTTATGCAAAGAAACAAATTAAATTTAAAATAGACTTACGATGCACAATCAAGTCAGTGTTGGGTTCCAATTGACAAGATAATATGTCAAATAAGTGTTTCATTGATTAAAAGTATAAGTGCTCGTGACTATATTCTTGCTAGTAATGACTATGACAGTATTATGAGTTATATAAATCAGAGATAAGCTAATTAGTTTCATGTATAGTTTGCATAAAATTTAAGGTGAAAATTTTGTATGTGGTAAGTGGTATTTTTTGCTCTTTTTTTAAAAATATCATCACTCTCAAAAGGCTACAATCATGTCATAAGATATAGGTTTTTAAATTTTTTTTGGTGATTGTTTATATATAGAACCTCAACATTAAAAAGTTTCATAATTTATTTCAACTGTTTATGCTACTTTCTAATTTTTATGTATATATTTGATTATTCTAACAAGTGGTGACCCTAAGTACAAAAAGGTAACAAAAAAATCCACTTTGTGTAAGTAAGTATGAAGCTGTAACACATTTGAAAAAATATTTATAATGTTGCAATACTTAGCAACTTTAAGGTACAATAACTCAAAAACTGTAAAAAAAATCAGTCAAAAACAACTGCAATAATGGATTATTTGGGTGAAAAACTATTACCCTACAAATTTTCAGGTGAACACCATCTTTATTTAAAAAGTTATGGTTTGTCAAAAATCGAAAAAAAATACACAAATTTTTCGGATTTTGGTAATTTTTAATTCAATCATAACTTTTGAACAAATTGGTCAATCAAGCTGAAATTTTCTGGATTGCATATTTTTCATAAAATCTGTGTGTGGTCAAAATTTAAAGCAATTCTGAGGTGGTACCCCAGGAGCCTTTAGGTGACTTGATATGGAATAACCCAAAAGGTATGTTGATGGTACCACAAGCTGTAAAAGAGTCTAAGCAGGAAATCACTTTAGATACAGAAGCTGGAGTGAAACAAATGTTAACCAAGGAATCAACCTATTTTTCGGTATGTTGTAGGATGTGATTAGTAGCATCAAAAGACGAGGTTGATTAAAAGTTCTTAGCAAACAGTTCAGCTTTGTCTTTAGGTTAGGTAACAAAATCTAAACCTTGCAAGAGAGGAGTAATAACAGATTTAAGACCCAATATCAACAATTATATAGTTATAATATCAAGAAACTATGAAATTCATAGTATGTTGATATTAAAACTATATAAAAATTGTAATTAACTATATTTTATAACAAAATAAAATTTAATATAGCATAAATACTTATTTGGGTATTTTTTAATATCATATATGGGTGAATGTTTATATCCATAAAAGTAAAAAACATTTTTAAAATTATCGATATTTTTAACATATAAAAGAAGTTGCTCTTATCTTTCTTTTTTTTCTTTCAGTTTTCGTTTGATCAATGTGGTGTGTCTGTCAATTGTTTAACATTACCTTCTGATTGTACAAGTTTTACATCATGTAATGCTGTTGCTCAATATTATTATAATAATGTAACTTTGAGGTTGGAAATACAACTTTCTTCTATAAAAAGATGGGTTGGCTTTGGTCAAGTTTTAAGTACAGCATCGACTGACATGGTGAGTTTGAAACAAAATTCTGCCATTTTTTCTTATATTTATAATTAAAAGGTGTATACAGTTATTGATTTTCAATGCATGTATCTTCCATTGATTATCAATGTCAAAATTTCTGATGTTTTACATACTTTTGCATGTTCAATTACAACTTACTTTGATGGAATAGATTTGTAGATATTTTGTAGCTAGCTACAAAGCTACGATACAGTGATATTTTTGTTCGGAAAATAATTTTAGTTTTAGTTTTTATTCAGTTTAGAGGCAAAGTTTTTAGTTCTAGTTCTTATTCCATTCAGTAAATAAATTTAGTTCTAGTTTTTATTCAGTTCATCTTAAAATAATTTTAGTTTTAGTTTTTATTTAGTTCAATTTTCGTTTGTCGTATAAATTTTTTATCTCATCTAATTATAATTTAGTATAATTTATAAATAATATAGGCATATATAATTAAAATAAGTAAGTCTTAGTTCTATAAACAAACAAAAAAATGAGAGCTTAATTAAATGTAATACACCCAGTCCCATGGCTAGAAGTTTAGAGCCCCGCCCACCGCCCTTAATAAAAATACAACAACAACCTGTCCTTATTGCTTTAAAACTTAAAAAAATTTCAATTATTAGGTATAAAAAAAACTCCTCAAATTTGGTAACAATAAAAACTAATGAATAGTTATTGTATAGACTTTAATAATTACTCATATATTTTACAAATAAAGGGCCTAGTGATTATATGATTATCATCTAGACTAGATGAGAATTTAGTTTTAAGAAAACTCGCATTTCCAATGACGCTGACATTCGATTTCTCCGTCCATTTGTGAGCAAGCCACAGATTGAAAAAAGTCTTTCAACATATGCTTGAGTTGCAGGAGCTGCAATGAGGTCTTCAGCTAATGGTGCAATATGTGGGTAAACAGCACGTCTCATCTTCCAGAAATTTAAAGCATTTTGGCACATAGAGCTGTTCCTTATTTCAATAAAATATTTGTTGAGTTCATTTTGTGCTTCATTACCTGGAATAAGCTTTATTTTTTCTACTCGCTGTTTTGCCGCTAAAAATTTCCATTTTGTTAATCCATTTATTTCTGGAGCAATCTCAACAGAAAGAGTAGATGCACTTGCTAAAGGTAAATCATGTTGCACCGATTTTTTAGCCTCTGACAAAATGTATTTCTTTGCACACTCTCTGATGTGTGTATGCTCATTACCTAAAAGAGCTATTGCACATGTGGGGTCAAGTAGACATGCGGCACATGGCAGTGGATTAAAATTAGGATCGTTTGGCTGCAAAAGAACGGCAAAACGACGGCGTAGATCTTCAAGCATTTTAACTGCTACATCTTTGGCATCTCCAAATTGCTCAAGGTGACATTCTAAATTAAGTATTGAAGGTATAACACTGGATAGTGAAAGTGAATCCGTCTGAAGAATATCAGTTTCATTGGCAAAAGGTTCTAAAAGATTGACAAAATCCTGAAGCATTATCCATTCGCTATTGGCAAGTGAATCAATGTTAAGGTCTCCATGCACTTCGTTGATAGATGTCTTTATTTCCAGAAATCTCCGAACCATAAAGTAAGTGCTGTTCCATCTTGTAGAACAGTCGCTGATCACAGTCTTACCACATTTGTTGATAATTTTTTCCAATGCAACAGAAGATTTGCGAACTTTTCCCACTAATCCACGTACCTTCAAAAGTAAGCCATGATATTTACCATCATATGCAAGTTTTACAACTAGCTGTATAACATGTGTAATGCATCCCAATCTTCTAAATGCTACGTTTTGTATTACATCAACTATCAAGTCAACATGTTCCCACTCTTCACTATTTTTCATATTCTCATCGTCTTCCAGATCTGTTATCTGCTCTTCATTAACCTCACTTTCTAATTCAATAAGTATATCACGTTCATCTTGAGCTTTCATTCTCGACAACTTTATGCCTTTGACCATGTTTGCTCTATTGTCCGAAATAACAAGCAATATTTTTTCTCTGGAAATATTCCAATATTTTAGGCATTTTTCAAAACAATTAGCAATTTGTTCACCTGTATGTGGATGTTTCACAAGATACAAATTAAGCAGAGCATGTATTGGTTTTTCGGATTTGAAGTGAAAAAAACAAACCGAAATTCCTAAAAAGGACGCAGTAAGACCTTTTTTAGTCCAGCCATCAAGGCATATTGTGAAGCGCCTGCCTTCAGATATGAAGTCACGAAGTTTTCTCGTTAAAACAGTAAATTCTTCATTAAGTAGGCTAGTAATTTTGGCAGAAGCAGGCAATGAAAATTTATAATCCAAGGTATTAACTAACTTTCTAAAACTCGCATTATCCACCAATGTCACTGGATTACATGTTGCAATTATCATTTGAATAAGAGAGTTTAGTCGAACTTCATGCTCGTGTGAATTAATAGGCCATGCGGTATTCCTACGATTAATGCATTGAATCAAGGTCTGGTTCTGATTTGAGGACGATTCTAAAAGAGTGGGTCCATTTTCATCCACTGCTTTCCTCTTTATCTCTGTTTGCTTTTTTTCACTTAATTTCTTTAATTCCGACTCTTCCAGCTCAACGTGTACAGACTTATGGTTTCTTGCTGAATGTAGCTAGAAAAAAATAAACATATTTATATAATTTTTTGTTTGTATATTTATATGTTTATTTATCTATCTGTTTATCAATTAATGTATAAATAATTTCGTATACGTTATTGAATAATTACTCTAAAATGATAAAAATGAGTGGTTTGTTTCAAAATGAAAACATATCCTCTAACAGATAAACTAACTTTAAGATTTGTTGGGTTCTTTCCACACAACTTTGTATTGCATACTTTTTCACCATCAAGTAAAACTAAACATACTGATTTGTCGGATAACGCATCGTATTTAAACCATTTCCATACTGAACTATTCCTCTTCCTACCAGCAAAAAGTTTACTCAAACTCATCGCGTAGTTGTGTTGGTCTTACAGTTTGATTTTTTTTAGTTCGAAAAAAGATATTCGAATAAATATATTCGAACTATATCATAACTAAACTTATTCGAACTTAATTGAACAAAAATCAATTAAGTTCGAAAAATATATCATTATAATGTATTGTAATATAATAATTATATATATCAAATAATTCAACTCGTTTCAAATCTAGAACGAAAATATTTCGTTTTAAAATAATTTTCGATTCAGTTTTTATTCCGTTCGAAAATTTAAAATTATCGTTTTTATTCTGTTCTCGTTCTTAAAATAAATTTCGTTCTCGTGTACGAAAATATCACTGCTACGATATGTAGCTAGCGACACATTGCTACAAAATCGCAATGTTTAAAGTTCAATTAATTTCATAATTATAATAGATTGAACATTAAAAATCGAATTTTTAAAGATGTTAAAGACATTTGCAAAAAATAAAATAAGAAAAAAAAAATCGCTTAAAATTCGCTATGAAGCTAGCTAGTCGCTAGCTCATTTCCCACCAGAATATATATATATATATATATATATATATATATATATGTATATATATATATATATATATATATATATATATATATATATATATATATATATATATATATATATATATATATATATATATATATGTATATATATATATATATATATATATATATATACATATATATATATATATATATATATATATATATATATATATATATATATATATATATATATATATATATATATATATATATATATATATATATATATATATATATATGTATATATATATATATATATATATATATATATATATATATATATATATATATATATATATATATATATATATATATATATATATATATATATATCAGGGGCTCTAGACTTCTAGGGCTTCTAGACCGTTTTCGTCAGTGTTGACCATATTTAGGCACCACCCAAATTTTTTTTTTTATCATCTTCGCTTCCAACAAGGCTGCAAGCAACCACTAATTAGTGTTGGAAGTAACTGGAAGAGAAAAGATGAAGATTGTAGAGCAAGATAACGATTGATAGTCGACTTAAAAGATTGGAAATTGTATGAATCAGGAAAACAAGATGAAGGAAGCGAATTCCAAAGAACTGATGTTCGAGGAAAAAAACTAGACAAATAAGAGTTTTTGGAGCACTTAGGAACAGTAACAGAAAAAGAATGAGACTTGATTGAATGACGAGTAACACGAGAATGAATTTTAATAGATGGCACAAGAGACGCTAGCTCTTTAGATCAGTGCCCATTATAGTATTTGTAGAAAAGAGAAAGAGAAGCAACATTATGACGATGTGAAAGAGGTTGAAAGTTGGCTGCAAGAGCAGGTCCAACTATGTTTACAATGCGTTTTTGCACCTTGTCTAAAAGAGAAAGGGCATCATTAGAAGATCCACCCCAGATATGGCAACAGTATTCCATACAAGGCCGGATTTGAGACTTATAGAGATAGAGAATAGAATCCAGAGTAAGAGAGTGACGAGCGCGATTAAGAAATGCGACTTTAGCAAATACTAATTTTGCAACGGATTTGATATAAGGTTTCCAAAAAAGATCAGAAGTAAGAGTTAATTCTAGAAGATAAAGGGTAGGAAACATTACATTACCGTTCATAAATATAGGAAGGTCTATTGCGATAACGATTGAGAAAAAAATTGAGTTTTATCTGAATTAAAGTTCAACAGCCACTGTGAGCCCCATGCTGTAGTAGAAGTGAGATCCTTTTCAAGCTCAGATGCCCCCTGCAAGCAATCAGAGGGAGTTAGCTTCTTATCGTGACAAGAATAAATGGTAGTATTGTCAGGGAACAATGCCATCTTAGATGTGAGAATATCTGGAAGATCGTTAAGGTAAATTAAAAAGAGTATAGGGCCAAGGTTGAACCTTGGGGAACCCCTGAGGTTACAGAATAAGAAGAGTGCTGTCCATCAAGGATAACTTTCATACGACGATTATAAAGAAAGGATTCAATAATCTTAAAGATGTTTCCATTTACACCATAAGAAGAAAGCTTATGGAGAAGACCAGCATGCCAAACTTTATCAAACGCTTTAGATATGTCAAAAGCGATGGCCTTAACCTCTCCACCTTTATCTAATGCGCGATAAAACCTATCGGTTATTACTGATAGCAAATCAGCCGTAGAACGAGAAGATCGAAATCCATATTATTGATCAGAAAGTAGGTTATGAGATTAGAGATGAGAGATTAAGTGTTTGTTAATTAAAGATTCAAAAACCTTGCATATGATAGGAAGAAGACTAATCGAACGGTAGTTAAATGAATCGGATCGCACACTAGAATTTTCAAAAATAGGGATAACAGATGCTGCTTTCCAGCAGGCTGGAAAACAAGATTCTGATAAGCACTTGTTAAATCCACTACATTTGGTTTATCATGCAATTGATATATCATATTTTGCAATGATTTTGAATAAAAAGGTTTTTTATGACATTACTATAGCATATAGAGCAAGGCTCCAGAAAACATTTTTTAACTGTGGTTTATTGCAGCATGGAGTCAATAATTTAGTCTGCAATCAAACTGAAAATTTTATTCTGCTGTGACTGATTGGATCTGATAAACAACTTAAACTGCGTGAAACATTTACCAATAACTTTTACCATTTACTTTTACCGTTTTTTACCTGTACTTTTACCGTTATCTGAAACTGTTATCATTAAAGTTGTGTTTGTTTTGTTGTTTGTCGTTGTTAACTTCAAATTTTTGTGATCTGTGTTCAACGTAAAAGAAAATAATAAAGAAAAAGATCAAAACTGTTAACAATTTTATGAAACAGGAAATCATAAAGATGGAGAGAGTTCCACCGCACTGATGTTTTCAGAGAAATAAATAATTTTGAAGATGAAGATATATAGGTAGAGATAAAATCTTACAGCGGTTTTACAGAAGCACAAGCTTGCGCTGTTATGTAAAAGTTATGATGAATGTTGCGCTGTTATGTTAAAGTTATGATGAGTATATGCTGAATGTTGATATTAAAATATCAGTTAAGGTTGATATATTTTGTTTAGAGGTTTAAATGTATTTCTTTCTATTACTTTTAGTATGTACTAAGAACTATATTTTATTTTTGTTCAGTTTGTATAAGAAGACAAAATATAAAGTTTAAACAAAAAACCACAAATTGATAATTTGACTTATTAATTTTAGCATAGTTTTATTATTCTATGAGTAAAATAATTACATAGTTATCTTGTGCAAAAAAATATTTATAATCAATGGTAATTCTTATTATAAAATAGCATAAAAAACAGGTTTTATATTAAATTATTTTTATATCATTAAATATTATGTTAAAAAACAATTATTAGTTGCATTTAATTTTGAATTAAGTATTTAGTTGAGCTAAAAAAAATTATTATACTAGGATCTTTTCCATAAAATTTACATTTGCGAACATTTAAAAACACTTTAATTTTTATTTTTGTTTAGACCAATTTATATGGTGCATATTGCATCTTAGGAAATGATGGAAATCCTAAATTTGGTTTGTTCAAATCATTTGGCACTGGTTCTGTGAATTATTTAAATACTTCTAATGTAAGTTTTTTCATGTTATTTTTAAGTCTGTTAAACATAAGTTTATATAATTATGTATGCATATATATATATATATATATATATATATATATATATATATATATATATATATATATGACAGATCCAGGGGGGGGGATGAATGTATGCATTCCCCCGCCAGAATCTGAGTCCTAAAATATCTTAGAAATTGAGGATCTTTTTTTTTTTAGGAGACTCAAATGTGGTACAAGTTGATATTTTTTTGATACAGGAACACATCAAGAAAATGATATTTTCTTGATGTATTCCTGTACCAAAAAAAACAGACTAGATTAACACTTTGTCTATTATAAAGTGATTTTTTGATCTTTGACCTTTTTCATAGTTATACGACAAATTTTATGATTTTTACCTCATTTCTGTATAAAATAATGTGTTTTTAAAAAAATACTATTACTAGAGCCTTGGATCAAACAAATCCAAATCCAAAATGGTTTCCTTACAAGATTAGATAAAGGACTTCTGGTCTTTCGTTGTAAACAAAATTAGATCAAAATGTATCAAAGTGATTCAAAAATATATAAGCACATTTTCTCTGTGGTTATTTTAGGTGCTCCAAGAAGACCTAATGTTTGCATCACAGAGCACCACAGAAGAGCATTTAACTTGGAAGTTTACACTTTCTTAATGTCAAAAAAAAAAGCCTAGAGTAGGTATCGAATCACAGATCAGTGAAGGATCCAGCATTTTTTGGTGTTTGAACTAACAGACATGGCGCAAACTCCAAACATATCAGGGGCATGTCTAGGAGATGTCTGCTACGTCGTTGGACGTACCCAAAAAAATTAAATAAAAGTTTTTTAACTTGATTATATTGTTGAAAAAAATCTTGCTATATGTAACTATTAAAACCATACTACAGCTAAAACTAAACAAATTATGCACGGTTAATTATCTGAAACGGTTGGAAATAAATTAAAAACCGGAATACATAATAGTATATTGGTTTCATAATTTTACGATTGTTAAAAAATATTGTTACAATATTTTGATGGAGGTTACACTAACTTTTGAGTTAAATAACTTAATTAGAAACTTGAATTGAAATACCTTATTTTATTTTGTTATATAAAACTTTATTATTTTAATTTTTTTTTCATTGGTTTAAAAAAAATTAAAATAATTGTTTTAGTAAAAACAAACTTTGGACTTCCTTTTAATATACACCCTGAGTAAAATTTTTATCAAGTTTTATTGTTTAACTATGATCAGGAGGTAAAATTAGTTTGTAACAACTAGTATATATCAAAATATATCAATTAACATCCCCTGTTTTATTACACTAGATTGTGTATCATTTTAATAACTTGCATTTGAAGTAATAAATAAGGAGAAAAAAAGTTTCAAATGTAGAAAATAAATTTCGGACTTCCATTTTGCTGTACACCCTGCTTAATTTGTGTTTTATTAAATTAATTTTATTAAACATATAACATGGCCGATGATTACTTCAAAATGTCGCTTAATTCGCAAGCATTTTAAATAAAAAGTTAGTTAATAAAAAGTTTTTACTTGCCTATGGAGTTAGTTAATAAAAAGTTTATAGTTTATAAGTTAGTTAATAAAAAGTTTTTACTTGCCTATGGAGTGAAATTAATTTGAAATAGGAATATAAAAGTTTGAAGAATTATTTAAAACGGAAAAAACGGAAGGAAACGGACGGAAAAAACACAATAAACAAACAGTTCTATTTGTGTTAATAAGGTATGCACCAAAAAGAAATGGCTAAAAGTTACGCAAACGCTGTGGCTCCTCAAAGTAAGCAAGAACCACCACGTGTTAATCTTGGAGTTTTTAAATCGGCTTCGCAAAATTCAGCTCATGTAGTTTTAGTTTGTCGCTATGGTGATCTCAATTGTAGTGTTGAGGAATTTTTGGAAGCCCTCTCAAAAAAAAACCTACTGTCCTATGTTTGGGGTGTCACTAGACACTACAACAATCGTTATTTTGAATTCGTGGTTAATAACGTTAATATGGTATCAACATTTCTGGAAACTGAAGTTATTATTAAAAACATTAATCTCACTATCTCTCAAAAGTTCGTTCGAAATGTACATGTACTGGTACAAAACATTCCTATTGGTATTCTATTGAGTGGAGGTGCATCTGCTCTTACCACTTTAGGGAAACATCTCGCGACAGGTAGAGGAGTATTTGAGTCTTTTAGTTGCCAAAAGATAAAGGTTCACGGAGAAGACATATTGACTGGAAATGTGATTATTATAATTAAAGACTGGCAAAATCCACACTCAAATCCACTTCCAAGATATCAAAATGTTGATGGATTTACGCTTAGATACAAACACAACGGGCAACCTCAACATAACTCTATGCCTATAAACCCAAGTTCTACTGCAATGGTGGAAACTACATTAACTGAAACCTCTGAAACAATTCTTACAAACGACTCAGAGATTTTGGGAAACACGCGAACAGATGAGTCAGAGACTGTGGTAAATAGTGGCGAAACAACTACTCGAACTGATAATGAAAATCATAACATGGAAATGAAAACATCAAAAAGAGAAAGGAAAAGACCCAAAACGAAAACAGAAAGTATTGTAAAACAAAAAAAATACAGCAATGACGTTACATGTAAAGAAAACACAAACCTTCCAAACATAGAAAACCAAGATTTTCCTGATGAAAAAGAAAAAATGGACACTGTTGTTTCAAACGAGGACGAACAAGAATTAAATTTTAATTTCGAAAGTTACGATCCCTTATTTTGTGTGGAAAAGAAGTCGTAAGATTTTCTTAACATTTTTTTTACTTTTTCCAATTAATTTTCTATTTTCTTAATTATTTTTCTATTCTTAAATCTATAAACTTCTTTCGAGTCTTTTACGTTCTAATCTATTGTTTAAATTTTTTCTCATACTCAAAAATCTGCATAAATTTTTCGATTCTTTGACGTTCTTTTCTTTTAAAATGAATGTACTATTGTTAATACAGCGCGAAAGCTGTGGTAATCCGTTTTTTTGTAGTTCGCGCTTTTGTGTAAAATGTTATGGTCCAGTGCGTCCATCTGTTCGTAATACGTCAGTTAAATCGAAAACTCGTGTTTTAGGTTTAAGGTTTAAATGTATGTGTTTTTTATGTCAGGTTGTAAAATTATCATATTTATGTTTAAGTTACACGAGTTTTCAAATTAGGAAAACTGATTCTCTCCATCATGACTCTTAATGTTTTAACGTGCAACATAAACGGTCTAAACGACCAAACAAAACGCGACAATTTTTTTGGGTTTCTAAAAAAATCCTCTTTCGATCTCATCCTCCTACAGGAAACACACTCTGGACCTTCCACTGTTAAACAGTGGGGAGACGAATGGACTGGCGAGTCCATTTGGAACTCCGGTCCAAGTCATAACTGTTGCGGGGTGGCAATACTCTCTAAATCCAACATTTCCTTAAACGAACTAAAAAGGGATAATAACGGTAGGATATTAAATGTCATGATAAAAATAGACGAGCACGAAATGCAGGTGATGAATATTTACGCTCCTAATGTGCCGAGAGAAAGGCGCCTTTTTTTTGGCGACCTTGGTGATTTCTCGCAGGACACAGGACTACCCGTCCTGTTGGCCGGAGACTTCAACATGGTCGAAAGCCTGCCTCTCGACAAAGAAGGCACGAACAACGCTAAATATCACACCTACGGCGTTGACGAACTCGGAATTTTCCAAGGTAAGTATAACCTAGTTGATGTTTTTCGTTTCAAATTCCCAAATAAAAGAGAATTCACATGGCGAAATCAGAAGGCAAAATGTAGACTCGATCGAATCTACTGCCCTGATAAAGTCGCCAAAAATACAACATATACAAAAATTCTCACCAACCCCTTTTCCGACCACGAGTTCGTGACAACAACCGTCAATTTTAGTAAAACAAGGAGAGGACCAGGATACTGGAAATTAAATTGTTCTCTTTTGGAAATAGAGGTGCATAGGCAAAAAATTGAACTCCTAATTAAAGATTGGCAAGTTAAAAAACGGTCATACAACTCACTTTTAAAATGGTGGGACGACTGCAAACTTTTTGTTAGGGTAGAATTACAACATATATCTATTCAGGAAAGTGCGAAAAACAAAAAACAGATCAAAAGGATTGAAAACGAAATCCAACGGGAGCGACAAAACGCTAACCCGAATTTAGATAGCATCAAAGAAAAACGCGATGCTCTTTTCTTGCTCCATTTCCCAGGAGCGTTTATTCGCACGAAACAAAAACTAATTGAAGAAGGAGAAAAACCTTCAAAATTTTTGTACAGTTTGGAAAAAACTCAACAGAGGAACAAGTCAATTACCGAAGTTCGCAAGAACGACGGAACATTGACGAGTGAACCTGGCGAGATTTTAAAATCCCTCGTTTCTTATTACAAAAACATCTACACCAAAACAAATTTATGCAAAGACAGCCAAAACTATGTCTTGTCACACATCACTAAACATTTGAGTGATGATGAAAACAAATTTTTAAACACCCGCCTAACCGGCGCGGAGTTAAAAGAAGCCCTTTTTAAATTTGAAAACGGAAAATCCCCGGGCTATGACGGACTTCCAGCTGAATTTTATAAAACTTTTTGGCACATTTTAGAAAAAGATTTTGAAGAGCTTGCTTACGAAATACTTTTCGTAGAAAAAAATACCAGCCACTCTATGAAAAAATCAATAATTTCACTAATTCCCAAGCAAGGAGATCTCACTGAATGCAAAAATTGGAGGCCCATATCCTTAATCGGCGCTGATTACAAAATAATCACAAAAGCGCTGGCCCTAAGACTTGCAAAAGTAATGGGGAAAATTATAGAACCAAATCAAACTTGCGGAATTCCAGGTAGAACAATATTCTCAAATTTACACCTTGTCCGTGATCTAATAGATTACGCTGAATTTAAAAATCTACCTAGTTTCATTTTATCAATAGACCAAGAAAAGGCGTTTGACAAAGTCGATCGTG